GCCCCCAGTTGGACTTCTTTCTTTGCCAAAGGTATGGCAGTGACACTTCCCACAGGTTTCCAGCTCTCCTAATATGTTTTCTCTTCTTCTCTGCAGAGCTGGAGGTGGTACCAGGGCTTTGTGCATGGAAGGGAGCACTCTCCCACTGAGCTCATCCTGTGCCCTGCGCATTTATGTTAAGTACCCAACAGCTACATTCCAATGACACCATGAATGCAGCCCCGTCCCCACCTCATCTTGCAGAGTCACAGCCACATCTTGTCCTCAAGGAATGCCTATATTCCCAGCTCTGGCCCACCCACGCCCAAACAAGACGGGGAGGCCTTCCCTGCCTGGCCGAGCCCCTGCCCGCTTCCCCAACTCCAAGCCCTGGCCATGCCCCGCCCAGGACTCACTCTCTCGGCAGCAAACATGGCATCACTTTCCTTGAACTCCGGGAAAACGTGTCCTGAGAAAGGAGACTGAGTCACCTTCAGGTCCCACCCTGATTCAGCTGCTTTCTGACCCCTGACATCCGTTTCTTCAGACAGAACCACCAGAAGACGCCCAGAGCCCTCAGAACCCTGAGCCCACACCTCTACATGCATTCTCAAACCACTGCCCCGCTCTCCAGGGCCACAACAGCCAGAGCGATGCAGACGAGGGGCCCTGACACACCTCAGCAGCCACAGCCCAACCTGAACCCCACCAGTGACTTGCTGCCATACACAGGGCCATGACCAATCCTGGCCTAGCTCTCCTCTGGGTATGTGTCACCGTTTTGTCCTTCAGTAGCCAAGTGAGCTCTGACCCCAGGGCCTCAGAAGCCAATAGTTTTTGTTTCCCTATTATGCCCAGTCTTGGCACCTAGGGCACCTTGGCCACTCATCCAGCACTGCCCCCCAGGACCACATCACTTCCCAAAATGTGGTTGTCTTTTTATCCTGGGGTGGTATGTCCCCAGAACACCATCCTCCTTGCTTCCAATGTCAGCCACTCAGTGAGGACTGGCCTATCCTCTTTTGCCCTGCATCTATGGGTCCAGCTGGTTTGACTCTGCCCAGGAGGGTAGCCCTGTGGCTTCTAGAGCAATGTTTCCGCCTTGGACGGGATCCCATCCCCCTGCCCCAACTCACCCTCCACCTTCATGATCTGGTAGGTGTCCTGGACCACTTTGTACTTGGGCTCGTTCCGGAAGGCATGGGCCCAGGCTTGGATCAGGTATAGGATCTTGTTGCGGACGTTCACTTCCACTTGCCTCTGTAAGGCAGGGAAGAGTGGGGAAGGTCTTAGGATATTCGCACCGCCACAGGTCTCAGCGAGAGGAGGTAGCTGCCCTGAGCAGACAGGACTGGCATCGAGGTGGCGGGGGGTCTGGGTGAGATGTACAGGACAGGCACCATCCTGTGCCCAGGTTCCCTGAGCAAACACTTGCTCAGGCCATGACTCTTTAAACCCTATAAGGAGCCAAGGGACTCCCTGGAGTTAAAATGCCCCAAGTCTGAGAGCCTAGAGCTGAATGTCTCCTTCCCTCTCCCCACAGACCCAGACTAGCCATGGAAGTCACTGGCTCCTGACAGTCTCAAACAGCTAGAGTCAACTAGGCCCAGCCACGAAGTATTGCCTCAGGACCAAGGATAGAGGCTGCTCTTGCTTCCAGTCATAGCCTGGGAAATGCAGCGGGCATTGCCCAGGAAACTTCTCCACACACAGTAGAGAGACACCATCGCCACTCAGTGAGCACACAGCCAGGCCTCAAGTCTGGTGCTCTCTCAGGGAGGCTATGACATCTGACACTGAGGACAAAGGGTAGAAAGCTGCTTCCAGGAGACACAGTGACAGCATCCACACTGGGACTCAAGTATCTCTCCACAACCTGGTCCTCCAGCAGCCACTCCCTCCCCATCACCACCTTGACTCCCCAGTAGAGGGGCAGACCAGCAGAGGACCCCCACAGTACAAACAGAACACAGCAGCCACATGAGGACACCTCCTCTCCTCCAACCAGGACCACATAAGAAACTGGCCAAGGTACAGTAACGGCCTCACAAAAGCCCAGCTGTCAGTGTGGACATGCAGGTGAGCTCTGGGAAGCATGGGTCCAGGATGGGGTCTCCTATGAGACAAGGCCAGGCCCTGGGTCACAGCAGAGGAGGAGCAGCCTTACCTTGGTGGGATGTCCTTTCGCCTCAAACAGCAGCCATATCACCCCCACTCTGCATCACTATCCACATCACAATCCCTACAGGTGGGCCTGGGGACAACCTCCCAGAGGTCTGAAAAACTTCCCCTTCTCTCCCAAAGGAGGGTATGAAACCCACCCTCTCCAGGGAGCTCCTTCCACTGCTGTCTGCCCTTCTGATTCTCCCCATAGACACAGCTACACACCTGTGTCTCCCCTGCTCAGATCTCGCCCATCCCCACATGGCTGCCGTCCTAAGCCTCCTCTCCAGGCTTCTGCTCTTACAAAGCGCCGCCACCACCATCGCTGCCATTCAAGACTCAGCTCCAAGCCCTGGCTCTGACAGGCCTCCCCTGGCATCTCAAGAAAACCAGGAGTCAGCCCTGTGCTCCGGACACGACTGGACTTTAATCCAGAGCTTGTGTCTTCCCAGGTCTGAGCCTAAGCGCGAGCAGTACTGGGACYGCCACTGCTCGCTTCACACCTGCTGCTGCACCCAGTGCTGTCCCTGTCATAGATGCCCAATAAACACCAGGAAAAGTGGAGTGACCTGCCCCCAACCCTGACTCATGGTTCCTGGGGACGCCTACCTTCAGCAGCTCCTTCAACTCTTCCATGGTCTGCTTGTTAGCTACCTCGTCATGAACTGTCTGGCCACAGTTCTTTACCACAGATTCCATGACCTGCAGACCCCAAGAAAGGGAAAGGTCAGGCCAATGATCAAGGCAGTGTCCCCTCCTCTTCCTGGATGTACCCACCTCCCCATGGGAATGCAGGCCTCCAAAAGGCCTCTCAAGACCACCCAGCCTGCCAGGAACCCTAAGTGGCAGCTTCACAGACAGGCAGCAAACCCACATACCATGACCCCTACAATATCATGGCTTGCGACCATGAACCAAAATAGAGAGCTGACCCTCAGACTCATGTACCAACTACAGCCAGAGTACCAGTAGCATCATTTCTTCCCCTGTCACCCCTCAGGGTGACCAAGCTCAGTGACACCGCACACAACTGTGCTCAAGGCTAGAAAGGACTTCACCTGTTGCTGTGTGCCCAGAAAGGGGACAAGGCTGCCTGATGCTGGGGGTGGGGACCCTCAAGGCTGGAGGCCAGAGAATAGCAGCAAGGGTCTAGTTACCTCCAGGGCATACAAGGCTACATGTGGATTTTTATCATTGACTTTCTTCTTGATGGAATTAACAGCATACTTTGCTCTGAAAGAAAAAGACCATAGGTAGCAACAGAGAGGCGGGGGGGAAACACTTTCAGTAAGAAAGTTAGGGATATCTGCCTACTGCTTTGGTCCCCAGAAACTCTAAGCAAACATTAACACAACCAAGTATCCCTACGTTGCATGGAAAATCTCCTAATTGTTCAAAAACATCAGAACTCCCAGCATGTGGACCATGTGATTGCGCACATGAYGTCTCATGTGGTCAGCTGAATCCTGGAGGATCAGTGGGCACTCAGGGTTGTGCAGGGCTGCACCCGTTTTACAGGACAGACTCTTATCACTTACTGTGTGTCCCCCTGACGGATCAGGTCACAGATCTGTAGGATGGACTCCCAGTCGGTCTCCAGTAGGAGCTGGCTGGTGGCTTTGTCTGAGGGAAAGAGATGTCATTCAGGATTTGGTCTGTGATTCCCTAGGCAGCCCTTAGGCTCAGCAAAAAGGAAAAGAGAACTTGCCTCTTCCCTTTTACACATCTGGACTGAATGGAAAACCACATGAAAATCCTTCCCAAACAAGATGCAAATGGAACGCTGTGACATGCTTGTTACACATCAGGTGCCATTTCAAACACTCGATTCAACCAATTCCCACACAACTCCCTGAGCTAGGCACTACCTATGTTCCTGCAGACAGAGAAAACCAAGCAGGCAGAGGGTATAGCTTGCCACACACACAGCAAGGATTCATTCTGAAATGCAAAGCTCTGCTGCTTCTCAGAAGACTCACTTAGTCCTTCAGAATCCCTGTCATTCAGGTATTTTAACCCTTCAACTAGATATTAGCTGAACAAGCCTGGGGGAGACATGTAACATGAACTCCAGTCCTCTACAAGGGCTCTGAGGAAGGCACAACTGACTCCCAAGGACTCTACAGCTGACACCTCTTCTCTCCACATCCGCGTGGCCTCGGACAAAGGCTCTCTGAGGAGCTACCACTCAACTACCGCATCACCTTCCCCAGCAGAGGGGTCCACTTGGGGACTGATTCAGCAAGCTTCTGATTCCAACCTTGAAGCGCTGAACCATCCCGTAAGCATGTGATGCCGGGCCTGCCTGTCCCACGGGCAAGGAAAGTGCCATCTGAGGTTTCCGCCAAAAGCAAGCTTCAGAAGGAGGCAGCCAGGAGCCGATCGTGACAACACCCGGGCGCCTGTCCCCAGACACAGAGCGTTTTCAGCAGGAGAAAGGACCATGCACATTAAACACGTTCCCTTCTGAAGCTGGCTCTCTCCAGGAGGCGCGGATGGCTCAGCTGGCGCCTCCACCGGGGCGGAAAGGCCTTCCTGAACCCGGGCGGACAAACGGGCCTGGAAAGGTTCCGGGAGGACACCACCGGCTCCACCCTTGGGGCCGACATGCGATCACGGGCCCCGCGTGAGGTCTGGCTCCGTCACCCACTTCGAGACTCAGACTCGGCCCGGTCGGCCCCGCGCTGGCGAAAGGGGACCCAAGGCAGGCCCCGCGCCCACCCTCGCGGCGCCGCGCTCGCTGGAGCCCAGGGACGCGCCCGGCCACACCCGAAGCCCGCAGCCGGGAGCCACGGGAGAGCAGCCGGGCGCTGCCCTCGGGCCCTGGGGGCCGCGCAGGGCGGGCKCGTTACCTAGGAGACGCTCGAAGGTGCCGCTGCCTCGCCCCATGGCGACCCCGCTCTGGACCGACGCCGCGGGCGCTCCCCCTCCGCAAGCTGGCGCGCCCCCACTTCCGCTTCCGCCTTCCTGCTCCGGCGCGCGCACCCGCACGTCGCCGCACGCGCCCGGGAGCCGCGAGGAGGCCAGGCCTTCCGGGGGCCGCGGGCGCTGGGCGCTGATTGGGCCGCGTTCGCGGCGGCGGCGGCGGCGAACCCCGAGAACCAATGTCAGCCCGCAGGCGAGGCCTATCCAGTGGGAGCGGGGCGGAGGCGGGCCCGCCGCCGTCCGGTGCGGAGCCGCGGTGGCCTGGCGCGGGGTCTGGATGTGTCTGCTGCTGGGGGCCGCGGGCGTCGGGAAGACGCTGCTGGTGAAACGCCTGCAGAATATCCTTCCGCGCCGTGGGGGCGGGCGGGGGCTCCGCCTGGCGCCGCCCTCTCCTTGACCACACGCACAGCTGAGCTCCCGCGACTGTCGGGGCGACCTGGGGGAGCCCCCGCCGACGCTGCCCACGGTAGGTGTCGGCCGCCGCAGGAAGGACTGAAGCCGGTCACCTTTGCGGCTGACAAAGCCCACGGGCCCCGCAGAGTGAAGCCGCGGTCGGTGTTGGCGACGGCCTTCGGGATTCCCCACTCGATGAGCGGAGCCTGTCGGGACCCTCCTTGGGGCGGGCACGTTCCCCCCCCCCCAGGGACCACAGTCGCCATCGCCACCTGCGCGGACCCCCCTTGTGGGCTCCGGGTCCTCAGAAGCGCCTTCTCCCAGTTTGGTGGCTGGCTGTGCCTCGAGCCTGCGGGTAACGCTGGCGCTCTGCTATCGGGGTTTCACGCAGGACGGCGCCTGCATTACTCGTGTGTGATGGTTTTTCCTACAGGTGGGTACCAACCTTACTGACATCGTGGCCCAGAGAAAGATTACCATCCGGGAGCTTGGGGGGTGCATGGGCCCCATCTGGTCCAGTTACTACGGAAACTGCCATTCACTGCTGGTGGGTCAGCATGCTTTAAACTTCTTTAGAGCCCTCCGGTCCCTGACCCCACTGGGCATGGAATAGGATTTGGGTTCTTAGGGGGCTGTGCTAGTCAAGGAAGCAGGGCACCAATCTTCTCTCTGGTGTTTGTGCCCCCAAAATGACATTAGAGCACAGGATGGGCTTGCTGAGGCCGAGTCTATTCTCTTTTCTGTCCCTGGCTGTGTTCTACATTTACATCTGATTTCTACACTTCTCTGGTTGGTCCCATCCTGTGCCCTAAATTCCAGGATAGGGAACTGATGACCCCATCAATACAGATTTCCATGTAGACAAAAACAGAAATGAATGACATCCAGTTATCTGTGTTACAGCTCATTTGCCTCTGCTTCTGCCTATTCCCAAAGCCCTCTGTTTAAAAGCCACTGTGGTGAACAGGATGTGGCACAGTGGTAGAGCACTTGCCTAGCACAGTTGAGGCCCTGGGCCCAATCCCCAGTACTGGGGAGAAAAGTCCTGGTGCTCTATGTATGCCTGTAATTCCCAGATGAGGAGGTATGGCCACAAATGTCTTCAAAGCAGGGTGTGACTGTGCTTTCCTTCTTCCCCAGTTCATGATGGATGCTTCCAACCCCACCCAACTCTCTGCATCCTGTGTACAGCTCTTGGGTCTCCTTTCTTCAGAACAACTTGCAGAAGCATCAGTCCTGATACTCTTCAATAAAATGTACGGGTTTACTTGCTGAGAGGGAACATGGTGCGGGTCCCATGGAGTAGCTGCCTTAGTGCATGTTTGTTAGTGAAGAGGTGCACCTGGGGGACAGGCAGGTTTTTGGCAGCCATCATTCTAACAAGGCAATTCTTTAACTWCAGCGACCTTCCCTGTTACATGACCATTGAGGAGATTAAGTCACTAATCAGGCTCCCAGACATCATTGCTTGTGCCAAGCAGAACATTACCACGTTGGAAATCAGCGCCCGGAAAGGCACTGGGTTGGCCAAGGTGTTGCACTGGCTCCAGGATGAGCACCGAAGCAACAGGTGACCACAGGGTGGAGAATTGTGCCGGAGGCAGAGGATGGCATTGTTGGGCCTCCACTGGAATGTTCTTATGGGTTCAACAAGGAGCCTCGCACGATAGGGCTCTATGTGGAGATGCAGCAGTGGGTCAGCTGAGGCACACAAAACTAGAAGCTCTTGACGACTGGAAGAAAAGACTGTGTCCACGGCTGGGAGAAGAGGACTGCCCTGCTGCTGTCCTGGATGGTGCTGTGACACATTTTCCTGCCACCAGGAAATCTGCTTGCCCCAGGGTATTTGGACTGCATAGTGCCACTGAGACCTAGACTCTTGTCTGCAGTAGAAGCTCCAGGCTTCTAGTTTCTCACCCCCGACCGTGTCCCTTAAGACCGCACGGCATGGTGGATGAAGTGAGCCCAAGTCAGAAACGAGCTTGGTTCATTTGTTCAGCAGGTGGCTATTGCTCTGAGGTGCCCAGAGCAAGCATAGGTTTTTTCCTAGGCAGGAGGCAAGGAGGGGATGGAGGCCTGGGGTCTTGGTGTCCTGTCACCTCAGCCAAGCCAGCTTGTGTGAGAATGCTTACTGTGCTGATTGGTGTGTCCGTGTGTTCTGAGGCTTCTTAAAACAAATGACTGGGCTGGGGATGTGGCTCAAGCGGTAGCGCGCTCGCCTGGCATGCGTGCGGCCCGGGTTCGATCCTCAGCACCACATACCAACAAAGATGTTGTGTCCGCCGAGAACTAAAAAATAAATATTAAAAATTCTCTCTCTCTCTCTCTCTCTCTCTCTCTCTCTCTCTCTCTCCTCTCTCACTCTCTCCTTAAAAAAAATTTAAAAAAAAAAAAACAAAAACAAATGACTACCAACTGGAGCTTAAGCCACAGAAATTTGTTCTCACGGTTTGGAGGCCACAAGTCCAAAGTAAAGGTGTCAACTGGTTCCTTCTGAAGTGCTGAGGGCAGTGCCAATTCCTTTCCTCTTTTCTCTAGTACTGCTGCAGTCCTTGGCCTTCTGTGGGTTGGTTGTGGACTCCCCCTCTGTCTTCCTCTCCTGGGTCAGTGTTCTCTCTTCTTTACGATGTCTGTAATTGGAAATGTGGGATGATACATAAGCCACCTGCAAAGAACCTTTTTCCAAATAAGGTCATGTTTGCTTGTTCCGGGTCTATGACCTGGCCATACCTTTGGGGTCCACCACTCTACCTACAGTAATTGGATAAAACTCATTCTGAGTGAGGTTGTGAGTTTTATAAAAATGGCTTTGTCTGCTAATTCTTCAAACCCCTGTAGCCACAGAAGGAACCCAGGGACCTGCCGTCTCCTCCTTGGTAAAGCCATGGGAACAGATGGGGGCCTCAGCCTCTGCACAATTCCAGTTGTTCACTCTGTTGGAGAGAGATCATTATTCAGATGAAGGGCTATGACCAGGTAGGGTAATCTCAGTGACTCAGAAGGCAGAGGCAAGAGGATCACAAATTTGAAACCAACCTCAGCAACTTGGTGAGATCTGATCCTTAAAGTATTCAGGGCCATACTTTGGGTTCTCATGCTGTGGGCCATGATGGCAGATCCTGGCAGAAGATAGCTATATTTTCATCTGCCATGTGACACTTCCCAGAGGACCTCACCATACTGAGCTGGTGCCAGTATCATGCCCTTAAAGTCTCCAGAACAGTTTTATGAATGAACCTCTTCTTAAGTAGTCTGCCTGAGGTATTTCCTTATAGCATCAAAAACTAATGGAGTCCAAGTTGGGTTCACAGGACTTAGGCAAAGCCTAGTTAAAATCACCAAGTATTAGAGGAATCTCTTCAAAGTGAAATTTGTCCATTCTTTAGCCGAGGGTGTGAGGATCCTCGATGTGGTGGGAGCACTAGTGGTGAGTTCTGGCCTCCCCCAGGCAGCCCCTGTGGCCAGAGGCCCCTCAGTCCTTCCAGACCCTCACGGTACCAACCCATAGCTCTCACTTAGGCTCAACATGGGTTTTGCAGCAGCATTTTAGAAACAGGCTGGGGCCAGGAGGTCGGCCAAGGAGCTCATGAATAGTCCCCACAGGACCTGTGTTCTCTGCAGCTAATGGTCTAGCATAGGGGGACTGTCACCTTGGCCAGTAATCAACCAGCCCACCAGTTGGTAGAGGGCAGTGAAACTGCGGCCACTCTACATCCCCCCATCAGTATAAGAATCTTCTGAGCAGATGAGCGTGGCCTGAGTTATGAGGTATCACTGAAAAGAAGTAGGGCTTTTGCCTCATTTTTGCCATAGAGCATGAGAATGTGGGCCAGAGAGGCCAGGTTGGTACCTGTTACTCAGATGGGTGGTGTGAAGCCTCCAGGTCACCAAGCTTGAAGCTCCTGCTTCATATCTTGCTCACATTGTCACATCATCTTAAATGCTTCTTTAAATGTGTGGTGTTTCTTAAATGTGTGGTGATGCACACCTGCAATCCCAGCTACTTGGGAGGGTGAGGTAGGGTATAGCAGGTTTGAGGCCAGCCTGGGCAACTTAGCGAAGCCCTGTGTCAGAATTCTCAAAAGGGCTGAGGGTGTATCTCTGGTGGAACACCTCTGGTTTTAATCTGTAGTCCCTTAAGTCAGAGGATGCTCCTTTGGCTGGGCAGGAGGGCCACCGCTGAAGAGCTCCTCAGGCACASGAGGCATCCTGTGTTTCAGCAGCCTGTGCTCCTGACTAGTGCTGAGTTTCAGGCTGGCCAAGTGTGGGGGGTCACTCCAAATGCACGCCAAATTAAGTCCTGATGCACCACGGGGATCGGAAAGATCACAGCAGTCTGGCGGGGTAGTGCTGTGACTGGGGATTAGGTCTTTTCCCTGGCTCAGATGATAAAGTGTGGCCCCTGGAGTGGCCCTGGGAGTGGCCCTGGGAGTAGGCGGCACCCAGAGGGGTTGAGCTACACTCACTAGTTCACTTGGAATCCTTGCCCTTGCCTCATTTGAATGKCTTCTTCCCAATAAAAGGGTTCAGTAAGTGCTAGTTCTACTTGCTCTGGCACACTCTSGCTCTCCCCTGCCCCCGCCCCTGCTCTCTCTCTCTTTCCACGGACCCCTAAGGTCAGAGGAGCTGTCACAGGACCCAAAGAAAAAGGCATTTCTGTCTCTGTGTTTATGTGGTGCAGCCCAGTTCCCCTGGAGCGACCTGAGTGTACGGTCGGGAAACGCAACAGCAGAGCCCCACTCCACAGGGCCTAGCACTGCAGCAGTTGTGTCCGCCGAAAACTAAAAAATAAATATTAAAAAATTCTCTCTCTCTCTAAAAAAAAAGAAAAGAAATGAGCCACCCACTGTTTAGCTCACAGAGGGTGACAGTGAACTGCTGAATGTGGAGGGTCCCACCAGGCCCTTTGAGGGGCCCATTGTAGCTTTGTGGGCCTCGGCCCCAGGTGTGTGCCAGCACCTCCTCCAGAGCTGGCTAAAGAGATCACTGCCTACCATCCTGTGCGTGCAAAGCCTCCAGGAAGCAGGCAGGCATGGTGGCACATCCCCGTAACCCCAGCTGTTGTGGAGGCTAGACAGGATGATTGCAGCCCTAGAGTTCCAGACCACTTGGAACAACAGAGCAAGTTTCTGTCTCAAAAACATAAAGGAAAAATGACTGGCCCCACCCCCAGAACTCGGGGACTGGGATGTGCCCACGTGTGAGCAATTTCTAGCCAGTTCCCCACAGCTGCTGCTCCTACTGGCTCTGCACTCCTGGCAGCCACTGCTTTGGCTGGCCAGCACCTCTTGGACCTGCCAAGTCCCACTGGCCTCCTACAAGCACTCCGGGTCCAGCTCTGAAGCCCCACCCTCCACGTTTTCATTAACTTGAGACCTCCCAGGCAGGCACGCCCTCATCTCCACTCAAAGGCCAGTGTGAGAAGCCCARGTGAGCCAGGGCTTCAGGCCTCAGTGTTGACAAGTAGCGTGTGACGGGGAACCTTCCTTTCCTACCTCCCACAGATTCCTGGGGATGGTACTACAGAGCAGGGCGTGGGGACCAAACCTGGACTTGTGGGTCAGGCTGCTTTTGGCAGTGAACTTCCTTCTCCCACCCAGCACATACCCTGCCCTGGGGATTGAGCCCCAGCCCAGCCCTTTTACGAAAACATTAAGACAGGGCTGGGGATATAGCTCAGTTGATAAATGCTGGCCTCACATGCACAAGGCCCTGGGTTCAATCCCCAGCACCACAGACACAGAAATAAAATCAAAACAAAACAAAAAACCATTAAGACAGGGTCTTGGGGCTGGGGTTGTGGCTTAGTGGTAGAGTGCTTGCCTAGCRTGTGTGAAGCACTAGGTTTGAGCCTCAACACCACATAAAAAATAAATAAAATTAAGATATCGTGTCCATCTACAACTAAAAAAAAAAAAAAAAAAACCACCACAGGGTCTGGCTAAGTTGCCAAGGCTGGCCTCAAACTTGTATCCTCCTCCATGGTGTCAAACTGATACAAGCTCCTCTACAGACCTTGGGAAGGAAAGAGGTGTCTATGAACAGTGGCCAGATTTACAAAACCATTAGCTCCCAATGGGGTGTCCTGTGAGGTGGGTGAGGATAGAGAGCGTTCACCCTGGCTGTTCTTGCCCTGGGGCTTGAGGGACTCTGGTCTCAAGCTGTTCCGGGTCCAGGCACATTCCAATGGCTCAAGCTGCCCCCCAACCATGGAGGACCGCACCACACAGGACAGCTGTGGGTCCTCAGTACTCAGCAGAGGACGGCACGATTGCTGGACGCAGCATTGACTTCAAGACATCCGACAGAATTGACTGCTGGGGGAAATCAGGGTGGAGAAAACAGGGTCCTGGGAGGCCTGGGTGCTGAACCAAATTCAGGTTTTCCCTTCACACAGAGAGACCAACCCCACCTGTGGGAGGTAGGTGGCCTCAGAAGCTCTCTCTGACCTTCACCTCTTCAGTGGATCATCTGCCCTGGACTGACGTAGGTCCAGCCCTCGATCCCCAGAGATGCTGGGAGAGAAGGGCAAGTTGGGAAAGGAAGGTGGTGAGATGAGCTCCCTGAGGTGCGCAGTCTGAGCTGTGCTCCTGGACGACCACGGCCGCCCCTCTAGTGTCTGCTTTTGTCCCCTACCCAGGCTTTGCACACATTCAGTTCAGGGGACTCCTCTCTGCCAGGGTTAAGGACAGGAATTCAGACTTGGCTGCATCTGGCCATGGCTGGGAGGCCCCACACAGCCCCTCCACAGGCACTGGAACAGAGGTGTGCCTCTTGGATGCCAGGAGGGAGGGGCCAGCAGAGGAGGGTTCAAGCATCACATAAGACCCAGAACCGGAACAGCTGTGATTTTGTCCTGCACTAGAGGAAGCCCCAAAGGGGACTGCCCCAAAGCCTCCCAAGATGGCAATAGTTGAGAAGCCAAAGCAGCACTGAACACCAGGGTGATCTGTCCAAAGCACATTTGGGGGAACTCAGTGCTGCAGCTCATCCTGGAGATAGCAAGAAAAGGGGTCCTCTGCCTGTGTCTGCAGCCAGGGGAGGTTCAAGGTGCTCCAACTTTCGGCGAGGACACAGTGGGGGGCTGGGAGACCCCATGGGTACCCTGCATTTCCTACTCCCTCCAGACCCTGGATTTCCACGTGGACACCATGGGGCAACCAACAAGCCAGTACAAACAGCCCCCAAGGGATGCTGCACAGGGCATGGTGGCACACCTGTGATCCCAGAGACTTGGGAACTCAGGCAGGAG